TCCAGGTCGCGGCCGGGCAGATCGGCCAGCCCCCCACGCCCGACGGCCAGCAGTTCCAGTACTCGGTCACCACGCAGGGCCGGTTCAGCACCGTCGAGCAGTTCGAAAACATCATCGTCAAATCGGGGACCGGCACCCGGCTGGTTTACCTCAAGGACGTGGCGGACGTCGAACTCGGCAGCCAGTCGTACGACCAGTTTACCGAGCGTGAAGGGAGCCCCAACGCCAACATCGGCATCTATCAGCTGCCGGGCGCCAACGCGCTGCAGGTGGCCGAAGACGTCAAGAAGACAATGGAGAGGATCCGTCGAGACTTCCCCGACGGGATGGAGTACACGGTCCCGCTCGACACGACACTGTTCGTCGAAGCCTCGGTGCACGAGGTCTACAAGACACTGTTCGAGGCGGGCATCCTCGTCCTCGCGGTGATCCTCGTCTTCTTGCAAGACTGGCGCGCCGTGCTAATCCCTGCGACCACGGTGCCGGTGACCATCATCGGCGCCTTCGCGGCGATGGCGATGCTTGGCTTCTCAATCAACATGCTCACGTTGTTCGGCTTAATCTTGGCGATCGGTATCGTCGTGGACGACGCGATCGTCGTTGTCGAGAACGCGGTGCATCACATCGAACGCGGCGAGCCTCCCAAGGAAGCGACCATCCGCGCGATGTCCGAAGTGCTCGGGCCGATCATGGGCATCACCCTGGTGCTGCTGGCCGTGTTCATCCCGGCGTCGATGCTCGGCGGCATCACGGGGCAACTCTACCGACAGTTCGCCCTCACGATCGCGGCGACGGCGATCGTCAGCGCCATCAACGCCGTCTCACTCAAGCCCGCCCAGTGCGCCCTGTGGCTGCGGCCGGTGCGGAAGGAGAAGATGTTCCTCTTCCGCTGGTTCGAAGCCGTCTACAGCTTCTTCGAGCGCATCTATCTGGCGATTATCAAGCAACTGGTGAAGGTGACGATCCTCGGCTTGGTAGTCTTCGCGATGCTCGTAGCCGGCACAGCGTGGTGGTACACGCGACTACCGACAGGCTTCATCCCCACCGAGGATCAAGGCTACATCCTCATGGCGGTGCAGCTGCCCGACGCCGCGTCGCAAGAGCGTACGCGCGACGTGATGGCGCAGATCGACGAGATCCTCGCCGAGACCGAAGGGATCGATAGCTGGATCACGATCGGCGGCCTGTCCATCATGGACAACTCCAGCGCGCCGAATGCCGGCACCGTGTTCGCGTCGTTCACCGACTTCGAGGAACGCGGGGAGCAAGGGCTTTCGCAGGACAAGATCGTCGGCTCGATCCAGATGCGTCTAGCCGGCATCCGTGAGGCGGTCGCTTTCGCCGTAGTGCCGCCGGCGATCCGCGGCCTCGGCGTGCGTGGCGGCTTTGACATGCAGGTCGAGGACCAGGGCTCCGTCGGCCTCGCGGCTCTGCAATCGGCCGCTCAGGCGGTGGTCGAGAACGCCAACGGTCAGTCGGCGCTGGCCGGCGTGCGATCGTCGTTTAGACCGGGCGTGCCGCAGCTGCGGGTCGATATCGACCGTGTCAAAGCCCAGACCCTCAACGTGCCGCTCAGCAACATCTTCAGCACGCTGCAGGCCTATCTCGGCTCGGCGTACGTCAACGACTTCAACAAATTCGGCCGCACGTACCAGGTGCGCGTCCAAGCGGCGAAGGAGTTCCGCCTCGCCGCCGACGACATCCGCAAGCTCGAGGTCCGCAATAAGAACGGCCAAATGTTGCCTCTAGGATCGCTGGTCTCGGTGCATCGCACGCTCGGGCCGCAGGTGATCAACCGCTACAACCTCTATCCGGCCGCAACCGTCACGGGCGAAGCGGCGCCGGGGCACAGCTCGGGCGACGCCCTGCGGATCATGGAGCAGCTCGCCAGCCAGACGATGCCCGTCGGCGTCAACTACGAGTGGACCGGCATGGCCTACCAAGAGAAAAAGGTGGGCGGCGAGGCGATCTTCATCTTCGCGATCGCCATCCTGCTGGTGTACTTGGTGCTCGCCGCCCAGTACGAGAGCTGGGTCCTGCCGATCGCGGTGATCCTCGTGGTGCCGCTGGGCCTCTTGGGGGCGGTGGCGGCGGTGGCGATCCGTGGGCTCGATAACAACGTCTACACGCAGATCGGCATCGTGCTGATCATCGCGCTGGCGAGTAAGAACGCGATCCTCATCGTCGAGTTCGCCCGCGACCTCCGCCGCGACGGAGCGTCGATCATCGACGCCGCCATCCGCGCGGCGGGGATGCGGTTCCGGCCGATCATCATGACCTCGTTCGCGTTCATCCTCGGCGTGACGCCGCTAGTGTTCGCCAACGGCCCCGGCGCCGCTGGTCAGCAGGCGCTCGGCACGGCGGTATTCGGCGGCATGATCGCCGCGACGATCCTGGCCGTCTTCTTCATCCCGATCTTCTACGTCGTGTTCCAACGCATCGACGAGTACTTCCGCGGCGCGCCGGTCAAGCCTAGCGAGAGCGTCACCGTCGGACAGACAGCGCCTTCGCACTGAATCACCAGGACGCGTTCTCTGGCAGCGAATTTTATTACCACGACGGGCACGACGAACACGACGGCCTTTCACTGGGGCGTACGTTGCCTCGCCAAACAGGCCGTCGTGTCCTTCGTGCCCGTCGTGGTTCCACTTCTCGGCAGCGCAGAATCGGTCTCATCGGTTTGGCGCGCGGAATGCATTTCTTCCGCTCGATCACCCTAAGACGCCCTCTTCGCCCCACGAACTGAACGCCGCGCCGCCAGCTGGACTTTGTTGCTGGCGGGCGTTCGGTCAGGGTGGCTTTGCGGGAAACAACTCGTCGGAACACGAATTCGACTCTTCCGCGGAACGGAACCAAGAGAGCCCACTACTGTGAAAATTGTTGACTGCGTGACCTGTGGCGGACCCTGCGAACCCTCCCATGTGCAAGGCCGCTCGCGCGAAGCCGATCGCCGCCCCACTCGGGTCTACTACAGCTGTCCGCTATGTGGGGTGGGCTATCGAGAGACCTCGGGGGACTCCAGCCGCCGCGTCGCTGCACAGTTAGCGGCGGTGAATGGTCTGCGATGAGGGCATAAAGGTTCGAGTCGGCGCGCATGACGCCTAAGGGGGAGTTACCATCAGGGATGGCCCCCTGCCCTGCGAGCGTCCCCGCCGATGTCGATCAAAGTCGCCTGCCTCGAATGCAACCGTGTCTACGAGATCCCCGATACCGCTGCCGGGCGGAAGGGGAAGTGCGAGTGCGGCGCGGTGCTCAACGTGCCGGCGAAGCCGACGCCGGTCTCCGATAAGCCTCGGCCGCCTCGGACGCTCGAAGAAGCGGCAGCGATCGCCGAGAAGCAGCGCGAGCCCGTCTACGATCCCGCAGGAATCGCCGAGCTGGCGGACCAGTCTCGCAAGGCCCGCAACGCCGAGGCCGCGGAACTCCCCGAGCCCGACATTTACGCAGACGGGGCCACGCCCCCGCCTTTGCCACCGGCCGAACGAAACAGCGCCGATGGCGAACCGCCCGCGTTGACGCCGCCACCACTGCCGGCATTCGATTCGAGTCCGCCGGCGCCGCGGCAAGGTCCGGCAGTGGTTAGGAACTACGGCAATCTCCGTCGGCTATGTGGGGTACTGCGGCTTCAAGCCACGATCGTCCTGTGGGTGTCGATTCTCTCGGCAGTGCTGATCGTTATCGCTGCGATTGCTTCTACGGGCGATCAGATCACCGCCGCAATAAGCAGCGGCCTATGGGCTAGATTTTTCGCGATCGTCGTATTTCCCATCATCAGCGTCGCGATCGATCTAGCGATCGGCTTCACAATCTATGTGCTGCTCAACGCCATCGCCGAGTTCCTCTACGTCCAGATGGACATCGAAGAGAACACCCGCCACTAAGCACGTGATCTAGGAACCGGACGCTAAGGCGTGCCGGCTGGTTGTGGCGCCAGACGCCCATTAGCCGCGGGGCCTTAGCCCCCGGTTCTCTACTCAATGCCACGCTCTCAAAACTAGGCTGCCATCGTCCGGCAGTGGCGACGCACAAAGGCCGCGTAGTCGGCGGCCGTGTCGATGCCGGTCGCGGCATGGGCCACGACGCCGACGCGGATGGTCTCGCCCGCTTGCAGCACGCGCAACTGTTCGAGCTTCTCGGCCTGCTCCAGCGGCGACGGCGGCAGATGGGGCAGCTTGGCCAAGAACTCGCGGCGATACGCGTAGATGCCCAGGTGCTGATGGAAGAGTGGCGGCTGATCCGCGGCGGTCGCCGACTGGGCGTCGCGCACGAACGGAATCGGGCTGCGGCTGAAGTAGAGCGCGCGGCCGCTGTTGTCGAAGACCACCTTCACGACGCTCGGGTCCCGCAGCCTTTCGGGGTCCGTGATCGGCGTGGCGAGGGTCGCCATCGGGATGGTCGTGTCGGCGTCGAACTGTTCAATCAACAGGTCGATCGCCGCCGGGTCGAGCTCGGGCTCGTCGCCCTGCACGTTGACGAACAGGTCGAACTGCGGCGTGCGGCTGGCGACCTCGGCGACGCGGTCGGCGCCGCTCTGGCAGTCGGGGCTGGTCATCACCGCGGTCCCGCCAAAGCGGCGGACCTCGTCGGCGATCGCTGTGTGGTCGGTCGCCACGATCACCGCGGCGGGGAGCTTGGCCCGTAACACGGCGGCGTGGGTGTGCTCCACCAAGCTGCGGCCGGTCTCACGCAACAGCATCTTGCCCGGCAGGCGGGTCGAAGCCATCCGGGCGGGGATCACAACGCAGGTGCGGGGAGCGGCCATGCTGTCCGTGGCGAGAGCCATACAATCGGTTGCGGGGGCGAGCCATCCTTGGAACGCGGGGCCCATTTCGTACGTCAAAACGCCGATTCCGGACAGGTCGATTCCGTAAATACGCCCCGTATCTGTCTTTATCGCTGACGCCCCGGGACTTAGACTCCGCATTCATCCCCCACCACCAGCCCGCGACGTCGCCTTGGCAAGGCCGCCAGCGCCGTCGATTTAGAGGAAACCCGCGTCTATGTGCGGCATCGTTGGCTACATCGGCCCGAACCGGGCGACCGACTTCCTGCTCGAGGGACTCCGCCGCCTGGAGTACCGCGGGTACGACAGCGCGGGGGTCGTCACCTTCGAGGACGGCGGCAGCCTTGCCGTCACCAAGACCACTNNAACGGCTCGCCAGCGCCCTGCAAGTGACGCCGCACGAGGGGAACATCGGCATCGGCCACACCCGCTGGGCGACGCACGGCCCCGCTACCGACTCCAACGCTCACCCCCACCTGGGCGGCGACCGCGTGCTAGCGCTGGTGCATAACGGCGTCATCGAGAACTACCAGGTTCTTCGCCAAAAGCTCTCGGAACGCGGCTACACATTCCGCAGCGACACCGACACGGAGGCCGTCGCCCACCTTGTGGCGTTCGAACTCGAACAGCTACTTGCGGCCCAGGCCGAGGGGGAACTGCCTGACATCGACGACCCGCACCGCATCCTCGTGGAGGCGGTCCGAGCCGCCACGAGTCAACTCCGCGGCACGTACGGCTTGGCGATCGTGTTCCGCGACTGGCCCGACGTGATGATCGCCTCTCGGCTCGGCAGCCCGCTGGTGATCGGCGTCGGCGACGGCGAGCACTTCTTGGCGAGCGACGGCTCGCCGCTCGCCGGGCACACCGACCGGATCGTTTATCTGGCGGACTACGAGATCGCCGTCCTCACGGCCGGCGCCATTCGCGTTTTGGGGCGTGACTCGGCGCTCGTTGTGCACAGCGTCGAGGCGTTAGAGATCGACGCCAGCCAAGTCGAGCTGGGCGGTTTCCCCCACTTCATGCTCAAGGAGATCTTCGAGCAGCCCGAGACAATCCGCAACGCGATGCGGGGGCGGCTCGACAAGGACTCCGCAACCGCCGTCTTCGGAGGCCTCAACCTCGAGCCGCGGCAGCTCCGCTCGATCGACCGCATGATCCTCACCGCCTGCGGCACGAGCTGGCACGCCGCCTTGGTGGGTGAGTACATCATCGAAGAGTTCGCCCGTTTGCCGGTCGAGGTCGAGTACGCCAGTGAACTGCGTTACCGCAACCCGCCCATGTCGCCATTGACGCTGCTGCTGGCGATCACCCAAAGCGGCGAGACGATCGACACGCTAGCCGCCCTGCGCGAGATGAAGCGCAAAGGGCATCGGTCGTTGGCCATCTGCAACGTCGTCGGCAGCACCATCGCCCGCGAAGCGGACGGCGGCGTCTACCTGCACGCCGGCCCCGAGATCGGCGTCGCGTCGACCAAGGCGTTTACGTCGCAATGTGTCGTGCTGGCGATGCTCGCCTTGCACTTGGGCCGGCTGCGTCATCTCAGCTACGAGGCGGGGCTTCGGATCATTGACGAGCTCGAGGCTCTTCCCGAGGCCGTCGAGAAGGCTCTCGAGACGAATGACATCGCCCGCCGTGTCGCGGGGCAGTTCTCCGGCTGCGACAACTTCCTGTATCTCGGTCGCCAGTTCAATTTCCCGACGGCGCTCGAAGGCGCCCTCAAGCTCAAAGAGATCAGCTACATCCACGCTGAGGGCTACCCGGCGGCGGAGATGAAGCACGGCCCGATCGCTCTGGTGGACGAGCACACCCCCAGCGTCTTCATCGTCCCGCAGGGGGCGG